CCCCTAAAAAGCTGCTGTTTATCCCGGGGGTAGTGGGGTATCTGCAGGGAATTCTGGGGTAGGATGAGGGTGGTAGTGACAAACAAAACAGCTTTCTAGTCACTGTCATTCGGACCCAAGTTAGGAAAGAGCTGAGGTGGCTTTGGTGAAAATTAATAAGGGCCTGAGAGAGAACATAGTAGGGGAAGCAGTTCCGAGAGACAGCAAGGAGACAGGCCAGACAGAGTTGTACCCCGGTTTGGTAGAGAGGGTAAAGAGAGTCAGGCATGGAACATAGTTTTTGTCTGGATAGGTGAATGTGGCTTCCTGCCCATTCATCTTAGATACACTGAGTGCCAGGTGACATTAGGACACTTGCCTGGACATCCTGAGGACTCCAGAGCTGAGAAGACCAGAGCTGAGGCTCCATGGTGGAGTTCTTGCTTAGCATCTAAGAGGCCCTAGTCCAACCTCCAGTGTCATAAAAATTAAACAAAATAACAAAAATCTTCAATAAACATGGGTAATCAATTTAAATAACTACCTCTGAAAACAAGACATTCAAATGGCCAAACCTACGGGCGAGGGGGGCTCAACATCACCAATCATCAGAGAAGGCCAGGTCAAAACCACAGAGATCTCACCTGCCCCCAGAACAGGTTGCTACCAAAAATTACTAAGGACAGCCGGTGTAAACAAGATCCTTGCACAGGGCTGGTGGGAATGCAAATTGCTACAACCACTATGGAAAGCAGTATGGAAGTTCCTCAGTGAATTTAAACAGAACTCCTCTGTATGACCCAACCCTCCCACTAGTGGGTATAACTCAGAGGACAAATGCTACCAACTTTTCCTCACAGGTCCTCAGGTGCTCTCCAGACACCCTTGCCTGGGCTCAGAAGGGTGTCTGGAAGCCTCTTGAAATTGTGAAGAATGTTAAGTGTGTGTTCATTTTTCTCGAGAAGGGATGGATGGCTTCAGATAAAATTCTCATAGCAGGGGGTGCGGGTGGGGGGCTGGCGGGGGGGGCTACAAAGAATGAGAACCACTGAGTCAATAGGTCCTCATGAGACTCAGAAAGGTGCACCTGCAGACAATGGCACTCAAACTCCCAAAAATGTGTTCCTCTGCTTCCTTAGAGGTAGATATTGGGGCCCAATTCCTGTAAAGGCTGTGCTGCCTTCTCTAGGGGAGAGATCAGGCAGGAGTGAAGCAGGAGAATGAGGCCCCATGTTAGCCTCTGATAACAATGCCACATGGTCCCTCTCCAGGGGGAGGGTCCCTTCACACAGAGAACACTTTCATATGGGCCAGAAAGTGTCTGCTCTCTGGCATCTCATCGTTCAGATTCTGTGACATCTTGGCCTGAGGGTTAGGAGAGGGGCAGGGAGGAACCCACTTGGGATTTCTACATGGTAACCTACAGTCTGACTTTTAGTCACCATTTCTGCCCGAGCTGATGGCAGCGATAACATTCACAGATGTTTTATGACAAGTTCAGGAGGTGGTATGGCAATTTACTGACCTCAAGCAATGGGAACCTTTAAGTTTAGAAAAGGCTCTTCAAAAATGGTGTTTCAGGGTCCCACAGCAAAATCACTGCTCAATTCAAATACAACTAGACACCAAGGAATTGTACCCCATGTAACCCACAGTGGGCCTCGGAGACCCTTGGTTTTTAAAGCAGTTAGTGGAGTGTATTAATCCATCTCAGCTTCAATCATGTTAACAACAAACAGAAAACCTTGAGCTGGAGCTAAGCCTAGAAGTGCTGAGCACTGTAAGCCCGCATTGAGGGACTACAGTAACAGTACAGTTAGTGAAGTGCTGTCTTGTAAACCAAGAGATTTGGTAGGCGTGTTTAGGATCCCATTGCTGGGGAGGCTCACTGGTCAGCCAGCCTGGCTTAGGTAGTGAGACAATGAGAGACCTTGTCTCAAAATAAAAAATGTGGACAGCACCTGAGGAACAATAGCTGAAGTTGTCCCCTGGCTTCCACAGCATCCCTCCCCCAGAAGTGAGTTTGGAGGGAGAAATGTCTGTTGTTAATCAGATCTCTACAATACTGACTGTACAGTGGGGAACTGTCCTTCAGGATGGAGAGGTTCAGAATGTCCCTCTTCACAGGGGCATTAGCCTTCACATCACCTAGAGCGTGTAGTGACAGATTAGAGTCCCAGGGAAGGTCACACTTTCACACTTCATTCAGCTTAGCAAGCACGTTCATTTGTGAGTGTGTAAGGCCTATGTTCTTAAAGTGAGGCCCTGGGATCCCAATTCATCACACCAGATCAGAAGCTAGGGTAGTGATCTTCCAGGGTGCACACTTGGAGTAAGTAAAACCAGGTGACACAGGGGCCTGAGAAGGATGTCAAATTCCAGGTTGGCCTGGGTTATGCAGTCAGAATATCTCAAAAAAAATTTTTTTTAAAGAATGTGGCAAGAGCCAGGCATTGTAGCACATACCCTTAATCCCAGCACTTGGGAGGCAGAGGCAGGCGGATCTCTGTGAGTTCAGCCCAGCCTGGTCTACATTAAGAGTCCAAGACAGCCATGGTTACATACTGAGACCTTGTCTTGAAACAAATGAACAAGAATAGGGCAGGATTCTAAATATTGTTTAGACTTCCTAGGGGATTTAGATGCATCCTGAAGTTGGGGGAAGTATTGGGACCAGGACTTGAAGCCATATTTCTTCATTTGTAAAGCCGGGTTAAGAGCCCATCTCAGGCTGAAGGGAGTTAGAAATAAAGAGTGTGGGCTGACCATTACCCAGAGACACTCTGAGAAGGCCATCGAGGTACCTATCAAACTCCCCCCATTCTCCAACTGTATGAGAACAACCCACCAAAGGCTTGGTTTGGAGAAAATGATGCCCCCAAACTCAAGCCAACACCTTTTTGAAAGCTTCCTGCTTTAGATTTGAAAGGTATATAATTTTGGTGGCTGGAGATGTAGCTCAGTTGGAAGAATGCTTGCCTAGCATGCACAAAGCCCCGGGTTCAATCCCCAGAACCCAATAAACTATGGTTGTGCACATCTACAATCCCAGAACTCGGGAGCAGAGGCAATAGGATCAGAAGTTTGAGGGCATCCTTGGCTACACAGAAAATTTGAGGCCAGCCTTGGCTACATTAGATCCTATCTCAAAATGAAAGATAAAATACAGAACATAACTTTTGAGGGTTTTCCCTCAAAATTTACTGTTAAAATATAAAACATGGTTTTAATCAAATAATTGGATGAAACTGGCCCTTAAGGAAAATCTCTGTTTATTCATTCTGTAAGCTTCCCTCATTCCCTGACAAGTGACACGCCCCCCCCACCCCCATCTCCAGTGAAGACTCTCACCTTGATCTCCCTTGGTAGCCTACAAGCGGGTAAGCAAGACAGGAAAATAAATGAATGGCTATCACAAACAAAGCAATGTGACCTAGGACATGGGGCTGAAGGACCAAGAGGCTCACCCTGTGGGTACTGACACCTGGCAGGTGCAGCCTGACCCTGAATGCTAATCTCCAGGCTGCTTTAAGAGAAAACACGATTCCTAACAAAAGCAAGGACTCTGGTTAGGAGGAAATCATTGCCCTTGGCCTAAGAGTGGTGTCTCTAGTACCAGTGGGTGAGTGTACATATGAGTATGCCCCGGAAATCAGCAGAAGCCTGTTTTAACTGGCTTTGACAAGATAGCCACAGCTGAGGCCAGCGGCTTTCAGGAGGTTGTGGTTACCTCTTCCCAATCTAGCTTCTGACTTCTCCTGCTTACTTTTTTACAGAAAGATTTAATGTGTGTGCGTGCGTTCGTGTGTGTGTGTGTGTGTGTGTGTGTGTGTGTGTGTGTGTGTGTGTGTTCTCTAAGGCCATAGGAGGTTGTCCGATCCCTTGGAGCTGGAGTTGCAGGCAGTTGTCTACCGACTGTCCCGAAGCACTGGGGTTTCAGGCACAAATACATCTGGTTTACTCAGAGCCAAGGATGAAGCCCAGGGCTTCTGGTATGCTGGAGGGGGGGGGGGCACTCTATCAACACAAATATGTCTCTGGCCCTCTGACTCATTCTTCTCTCTGTTCTTATGAATTCACTGGCACTGGTAGAGTCCCTTCCCATCTAAGAAAGTCAGTGTCTGGAAATGATGGGCAGTGGGACAAGCGGGTCATCCCATCCACCCTTCTGCCACCAGCTGGAGAGCCAGGAGCCCAGTTTTAATGAAAGGCAAGGTTACTTAGAGCTCACAGTGCTCCTCCAGTAACTGGAGGCTTTCACACACCTGGGTTGCACATCAAGCAAGCAAGTGTTACACTGCCATCCTCTTAGGCTCCAAAGTCCCCGGCTGGTCAAGGCTCTGAGGACCGAGTGAGACTGTAGTCACACGGGACACGCAGCTCAGAATAAGATGATCTGTGTGCCAGGCACTGTGCTTAGGCCGTTAGCTACAAGGGGGGGGGGGGCGAGGAGCGCCTTAAAAATAAGAGAAAGCAAACTTACTTGTAAAAAATAAAAGGTAACACAAGTGGTGCTAGGGTGAGCTTCAACGAGTGTTAACTCAGTCGTTTTTCCTCCGTGTGGAGCCAGGCGCTTGGACTCAGCAAAGGACTACAGGGGTCTGGGAGTGGTGGACTGGCCTGGGTAGTGCTGTGTACTGCGGGGCCACGCCTGCTGCTTCCCACCGCTTCCCAGGTAGCTGCTCTGGCTCAGCTCGGCTCGGGACCGCACGCGTCCTGGGCGCAGTGCCAGGTGGCCCAAAGAACTGCACCCAGTCCAGAACCCAGTCCCTGAGCTCAGGACCCCTAGCCACAGCCTAGGACAGCTGGCTGGAGCCCAAGACTCTCAAGCAGGAGCCCAAGAACTGGGTCCGAGCCCAGGATCTCGGGATCAAGTTCAGGTCTACAGGCCCCAGCCTAAGACCTGCGGCCCAACCCAGAATCCGCGAATCCCAGCCTAGGATAACCGCCCGGAGCCTAGGACCCACACCCAGAGCCCAGAGTCCGCAACCGAGGTCTGGACCCCGGCCCAAGCCCCTTACCTCTTGCGCGGAGACCGCCTGTGAGTGTACTGCGGCTGCCACACCCTCGTTCGTTCGGGCCGACAGGACCCGCCCCGTCTTGGGGTGGAGACTGAGCCCGAGTTCCTGGTTGTCCCTTTGCCCACGGGATGAAAAGTCCCTCCCAGGCCGAGCACAGCTTGAGTCGCGCACCAAGAGGTGCCTGGTCCGGCCGCGGATCCCGCACTAGGCTTCTCTACCCCACTCAGGACCCTGACCCCCAAAAGGACCCCGAACCTGCGTCGCCAAATCCCTCTCAGGACCCTGACCCTGCACTGTCAGACCCCACTCGGGTCCCCAGTCCCAGGATCTCGGCCTCGGGTCCCACAGGGGTCACCCGTCCCACCTGGGCCTCAGCGCTCCAGCGGGGCGCCCGGGGTCCCTACGTCCAGACTGGCTGGAAAAGTAGAAAATGACATCGGAAGGTACAATTCCTGTCCTTCTCCCACACTACAATTTATGTTTCAGAAAATTCCTAGCAGTTCCATGCCTTCTCTAAAGAAGAGAGTTGCAGTCTCCAGAGTCCCGAGAAGAGTGCAGGGGGGCTAGTACAAGGCACTGTGGTTAGGAGCAGCTCCTGGTTTCCCACTGAACTCCCTACTGCTATGGTTGCTCGCTAGTCTGGTTCTCGCTCCTTGCTGGACACCTGTGTACTCAGTCAGGGCACACACCTCTTGGCCTCTTGCAGCAAGTGCCGAGAATGTTTCAAGAACCAAGCCCACGGCTCTACAGGCAACCTCCAATTTCATTTAACAAAGAATGGGTTGCTTTGGGCAACGTTTGCTGTCCAGCCAACCAAAACCCATGTGGTCATTACATTAAATTATATCAGCAACGTGTAGCTAGAGGAGGTGGCTTGTTGTGTGGTTAACAGCTCCGGGTTCAGGAGGGGACAACTGATCTAGACTTGTGCCTGAGCTGTCAGGTTTGAAGGCCAAACGTTTTTAAGCTTCTGCAAAGGGAGAAGACAAAATTAACCAAGGTAATAGGAAGGACAAAATATACTTCCCTTCTGAAAGATTCAAGGCTGTTGCATCCTTTTGAAAATAATTAGGTGCAGGGGAGGGGAGAGTCAATCTTAGTACCTAGCAACTGCTGTTGGCACCCAGCTAAGCTGACCTTTATAGCAAGTGCACCCAGGCCACAGATCTCTACTGCCCCTTCTTCCAAGGGCTGCCCTTGCCGGGGCAGGTGGGGGGAGCAGCACAGACAGAGGCTTTAATATGCTGGGAATTGAACCTAGGTCCTCTGGAAGAATAGCCAGTGCTCTTAACTGCTGATCTCTCCAATTCCTGACTGAGACTTTTATGGGACACAAAAGGCTAGGACTACATCTGGCCAGGGCTCATCGGGGGGATCAGAGGAGGTCTGACCTCCAGCAGGAACCTTGCCCTTTTCTGAGCTCCCACAGGCCCCATACAACTTACTCCAATAACCTGCCGGGTTCTCCTGAGAGTGTCAAGAGAGCTCTAACAGAGCAAGCCTCTCCATCTGGGCCTACTTCTGTGGAACCTGATCTAAGACAAGGCACTAAGACGATCAATAGAGTTGTCCAACTTAAGGACTGGGAGAAGCTTCATATTGACCGTTTCAGAATGAGGGGCTAAGAGAGATGGCTCAGTGGTGAGAGCACTGGTTGCTCTTGTACAGGACCTGGGTTCAGTTCCCAGCACCCACATGGTGCTTCACAACCTTCTATAAAATGCCTTCTTCTGACCTCTGCAGGCACCAGGCACACATGATGCACATACATATTTGCAAACAAAACATTCATACACATAAAATAAAACAATAGTTTTATAAATATAAAAAGAACACCACTGCTCTTCTGAAGGACCCCAGGTTCAATTTCCAGCACTCACAAGGTGGCTTACAAACAACTATAACTCCAGTTCCAAGTGATCCAACAATCTCCTCTGGCCTCCACAGGCACAGACATGCATACAGACAATATACCCACACACATTTTAAAATATACCAAAATGAATACATATTTTTTACCTCATGTTTCTCTTGAACAAAAGCAAGTGTAGTTTTTTTTTTTTTAAAGTCTTACAACAAAACTGGACTGTAATCCCAGCACTTGGCTGGGGTAGGAGGTAGAGCAGAAGGATCAGGAATTCAAGGTCGTCCTCAGCTACTTTTCAGATTTAAGACCAGCCTGGGATACAGGAGTCCCTGTCTCAAAGAAGAAAAACAACACGAAACTTTCAACAGTTCTATGGATGTAGCTTGGCAGTAAAACATGTATGGTCGGCATTCACAAGGCCCTGGATTCAATCCCCCAGCACTACATGAACATAAACCTCTCTCAAGGCTAAGGGGCAAGAAAGGAAAAATAACAATATGATCCCTCTGGCAACTGAGAAGCAGAAATCCAGATGACAAATGTCTAGCCAGCCTGAGAAAGCAGAGCCCAGTGCTAGGAGAAAAGCCAACAGCAGCACGAAATGCGATCTCATTTCTCAGGCTCTGAGGGGCTCAGCCATACCAGGTGCCTCTGAAAGTAGATCTTCACGCAAGACTGGGAGTCAAGGGTTCCTCAGAATCTGTTCGGGTAGCAGCTTGTGTTCTCCGTCTCCTCTGCTCAGCTGTCACCTCTCCTCTTTCACGCAGGTAGAAGGCTGGAAGGTTGAAAGGGCCTTCTCCAAAAGGGGTAGGAGAAGGCTGGTTGTCAAAGGCAGCCTAATACTTGGTTACCTAAAACAATGACCACTTTACTTCTGTCTCATTATAATTCATGACCTTGTGGGTCTGAATTTGGACAGAACTGGGCTTGGCATGCCCAACACTTTCCATCCTTGTGGCATCAAGGAAGGCTGATTGGTGTAGCAGGCTAGCTGTAGTCACCAACCTAGAGATTCAGTGTGTGTAGGGCAATACGGCAAAGTATGGAAGACTGCCCTCTGGTGGCAACATCCTTCAGAGACCCTGCATCTATCATCTCAACCCAAAGTCAGACTTGCTGTAGAAGTTCAGGCTTTCTAGAAATAACACTGTAAGAGATCTACCAACTAACTGTCTAGGTTCCAAGGAGCTCAGACATGCCTGTTGTGATCTATATACCCAGAGTCACTAAGGCTTCACGGTTCCACTTTAGTCTCCATTGTAGTGTGTGTCTGCGTGGGTGTGAATATGTGACTATGTTTAATCTAGGGTGGGAGATTTACACAAGCCTAGGGCTACTCTAATTGACATTATGGTGGTAAATATTGAACTGCTCCTGTTCAGGTGCCTAGCATTCTGGTTCAGGTATTATACCCACTGAGTAGGGAGGCTGGAGACTCTGGGGAATCTAAGAACACAAACATAAAGAGACTGTTATCAGTTACTCAGAGCAACTGGAGGCAATGCTAAGGTTAATAAAGGCATGCTATCAAGCCCCACCCACTCACAAGGGTAGGCAGCCTGCCTATCTTTTTTTTTTTTTTAAAGATTTTATCTGTTTATTATGTATACAACATTCTGCTTCCGTGTATATCTGCACACCAGAAGAGGGCACCAGATCTCATAAGGTATGGTTGTGAGCCACCATGTGGTTGCTGGGAATTGAACTCAGAACCTCTGGAAGAACAGCCAGTGCTCTTAACCTCTGAGCCATCTCTCCAGCCCCCAGCCTGGCTATCTTGCTTGTGGGATGGTTGAGCAAAATCCAGGACACTTAGTTAAACTGGAATTTCAGCTAGACATGTGGTATTTGCCAGTAATCCCAGCACTTGTGAGGCAGAGGCAGAGGCAGGAGAGGATCAGAAGTTCAAGGCTAGCCTGAACTACATGAAACCCTATTTCAAAAAAGAAAAAATTGAATTTCAGATGAATGACAAACATTTTTTACAAAGTATAACATATTTGTATATCATAAAAAGGTCTTAAATTCTGCATGTGGCAATTTATGCTAAACATTGTTGGCTGTTCATCAGATGAAGGCCATCAGAATTTAATGGAAGGGTCTAGCATGAAGACACACCCCAAAATTTTTACACAAACAAAAGGAAGGAGCTGGGAAGAAACAAACTCAGGGAGAGAAGAAAACTCAGAGGGTCAATTATTAATCTCTGGGAAATAAAGTTAGAATAAAAGTAGAATAGACATCCTTTAAGAAGATAGTCAGAGAACTAAATCAAATGTTTAATGTTTTAAAAAATAATATATTTTAAAAATATGAAAACAAAAGAGGCCAGTGCAATGTTAGCTGAAGGCACCTGCCACCAAGCCTGATGGCCCAAGTTGGATTTTTGGACAAGCATGATAAAGAAAAATGACTCCTGGAAGTTGTCCTCTGACTTCCATGTACACACATGCCATGGTACAAACACACACACACACACACACACACACACACACACACACACACACACTAAAAAAATGGAATTAAATAAATAATTTAAAAATTTAAAGGAAAACTCAGTAGAAGGGAGAAGGGAACATTAAGAAATACCCTCATTAGGAAAGTCAGCCAGATGCAGAAATCCACAACTAATCAATGGGCCAAGCTCCTGGAGTGATACCAGACATAAAGCAAAAGATAACCAGCCTACAATCCACAACCCCAGAGAAGCTAGAACCCTCTTCCAGAAACAGATAGAAGCAGATGCAGAAATCCACAAGTAACCAATGGGTCAAGCTCCTGGAGTACAATCAAAGTGACGGAGGAGCAGTAATATGAACAAAGAAGTCAAGACCATGACGGGAAACCCACAGAATCAGCTGACCTGAGCTAGTGAGAGATCACTGACTCAGGTCTGACAAATGGGGAACCTGCATAAGACCGAACTAGATTCCCTTAATATAGGTGGCAATGGTGAGGCTGGGACAATATATGAGGCCACTGGCAGTGGGTCCAAGATCTAACTCTAATGCACAAATTGACTTAGTGGAGCCCATTCTACATGGAGAGATACCTTGCCCAGCCTAAACACAGGGGTGTGGGGAGTGGAGAGGTTCCTTGGTCCTGCCTCAAGGAGATGATGAGACAGACTTAGTAGACTTCCTAGGAGTGGCCTTACCCTCTCCGAGGAGCAGATGGGAGGTGGGATGAGGAGAAAGTGGGGGGATCAGCAGGAGAGGAGGGAGCCGGAACTGGGATTGGAATGCCCAAAAAGACAAAAAAGAAAAGAAATGCAGCCATCCCCTAGTACCCTCAGGAGATTTCTTCCAGAACCCAGGTCAACACTAAAATCTCTGGATTTCTCAGTCCTTTATTTTACTTATTTATTTATTTTGCTGTTTTTGAGACAGGGTTCCACTTTGTAGTTCTGACTGTTCTGGAACTCACTATGTAAGCCAGGAAGGCCTTGAACTCATGGAGATCAGCTTGCCTCTACCCTCCTGAGTGCTGGAACTAAGGACATGTGCCACCACCCTCAGCCTCTCTTATTTTAACACATTTATTTAGTTAGTCTGTTCGCTTGTTTTTCTGTATGTGTGCAAGTGTGTACATGGGTGCCATGGCACACATGTGGAAGTCAGAGGACAATTGCAGGAGTTGGTTTTCTCTTTCTACCACATAGGACCTGAAAATTGAAGTCAGGTTATCAGGCCTGGGAACAAGCCCTTTTACCCTCTGAGCCATCTTGCCTGTCCCCCAACTCTCTTATTCCAGTGGCCTAATATCTCTGCATGCAGCACAGAGCATCCTTGCCTATATTTGTTTTTTTTTTTTTTGGTCCCTCATTTTTTTTATGCTGTTGTTTTGTTGGAACATAGTCTTACTATGTGGCCTAAACTACCTCACAATAGTAATCCCCCTGCCTCATCCTTCTGCTCCCTCATCTGATGTAAACCATCTCTAGATTACTTATACTGCATGGAGCAGTGTAAATAGTTGCTTTTCTGTATCGTTTGGGAAACAATAACAAGGAAAATGTGTCTATAACTATAAACTATATAATTTCTGCACTCACAGATGCAGAGAACCACCTGCAGAGGCAGAACATAAAGAAGCTAGGTGTGGCCATGAGGCAGACACGATTGGGGCTAATTTAGGGCCTCCACTTAGCTTGGCTATACACGCACCCCTCTCTTAACAATGCACCTAGCGACCAAGGACACCGCACCACCACTCTAGCCACATCAGGCTGCAGGTTTCATGCACTTCAAACAGAATAAGTTACTCCTCCCTAGCAACCTTTAACAACTCCCTTCCATGGTCAGTTTTAGTTACATGTATTTCAGGATGCATCTGGGTAAGGGATGCAGGGAACCCATCTATGCTGAACTAATTTTGGGTGCACTCACAGTAAGCTAAACTGTGTCTTCTGAGTGAACTCTTAGAAGAAAAATCTATTTACCATTTTATGCCTATGAATAACTGGATATGCACTTAATTAAAATCAGGTGCATCACAGGACAAGCTACCATTTCTTACTGTGTTCCAGCCACCGGGCACAGAACTGTCATCTAAGTCATTGGCTTGTGTTAAATACTTTCATAGGTGTCAAAAATTATAGGCAGTTGCAGTGAGATGGTTGTGCTGGCTTGAATGAGAATGTCCCCCATAGGCGCCTGTATCTGAACACTGGTCCCCAGGTGGTTGGTGATGATGTTTGCCGTGGTGACACGTCATCGTGAGATGACCACACAGGTCCCTCCTCCCAAACTGTGAAAGAGCAATAACAAATGGCTCTGTGGCTGGTGCTACAGCTCCATGGTAGAGTGCTTGCCTGTGTGTGTGAGGCACTGGATTTGACTGGTTCTGGCACCTCAACTAACAAGAAGTCAAGCATAATGGTGTAATCTGCAATCCCAGCATGTGGGAGGTAGAGGCAGGAGGATCAGGCTTTCTAGGTCATCCTCAGCTACATTTCAGTTTTGAGGATAGCCTAGGCTACATGAGACCCTACAAATTAATAATTGTCGTAAGTGACCTTTTTTGTTGTTTTTTTGTTTGTTTGTTTGTTTGTTTGTTTTTCGAGACAGGGTTTCTCTGTGTAGCTTTGGAGCCTGTCCTGGCACTCGCTCTGGAGACCAGGCTGGCCTCAAACTCACAGAGATCTGCCTGCCTCTGCCTCCTGAGTGCTGGGATTAAAGTCGTGCGCCACCAACGCCCAGCTTGGAATTGATTTTTAAAATATAGTGTCATAAGTGACCTTTTTGGCACCATGAAATCTAGGAAAAGTTTTGGAGTGAAGACAACCAGAACACCTCCACATGAAGGACACTTCGGGTCAGAGTTGAGTCTCCTCTTCCAATTGTCACTCAAAGGGTACCAGGCATGTGAAGAGAGGATTTTTACCTTGAGTGACAATTCTCTTCTCCAGCGCTGGAGATGGAATCCCAGGACAATGGCCAAGCTGCAACCATTCGGCCACTAGTCAGGAAGTAAGGCTAGAGGCCAGGCAGCCTTTGGCCCCCAGGGACAGTGGCTTCACAAAGCACAGAGAGGAACCTCTTCTGTGGATGGTGTTTTCCATACAAGGCTTAGGATGCTGGAAGGTGACTAAACTGCAGTTAAAATATGAGAGGAAGATTCCTGCAGAATCTACAAGGACAGGCAGGGGCCAGGAAAGAATGACATCATCCTGTTTGGGAACAAATGCAAAGCATGTGTAAAACTTTCACCTTTAAAGATGAGTAAGCATGAAAAAAATACATGTGTACAATAGAAAATTCTAGAATCTGGACAATATAACACCTGCCAGACATGAGAGTGAACTATAGTACTTGGAAGGTGAAGACGAGAGAACAGAATGACGAGTTTATGGTTATCCTTGGTTACATCCTGAGCTTGAGACAAGCCTGGGTTACATGCAACTCTGTCTTAGAGAAACCAAAGAAGCAACCTAGAGAGCTGGTTAGGCTGCTATGAGCCAGGCTGATTCTTGGCACACCTCAGTCACAGCTCTCAGCAGCATGATGCCCTCTTCTGGCCTCTTCAGACATCTGCTTGCGTGCGTGTGTGCACGTGCATACACCCCCACACAGAGAGGGGGGGCATGCGCACCCACAATTAAACATAAAAATATTATTTTGAAAAATGAAGAAGAGGAGGAAGGGAGAGGGAGGAGGTAGTTAATGGCAAGGAAAATATAGCATAAGGTGGAAGTAACTTTTAAAAAGTTTTACAATATGAAGAAGTCAATTTAAACAGCCTCTGATTTATCCCGTGTGGATGAAATGAGCCAAAGGCATGCACTAATATGAGTGACCCTGTTCATAAGGTAAAATTAATAGTTATGAGCTTGAGTCCATAATCTATAGTACATTTACAAAAACTGATAAAACATTTATTTCAAAGAAAGCGTCAGCTGGGCGTGAAGGTCCATGCCCTTAATCATAGCACTTGGGAGGCAGAGGCAAGTGGATCTCTGTGACTTCAAGGCCAGCCAGGGCTACATAGTGAGTTCCAGGCCAGCCTGGTCTAGATAGTGAAGCCTTTTTTTTTAAAGGAGAGAAAAAGAAACATCATTAAATTCCAAAACAGATCTTGAGGTGTGGCTCAATAGTACAGTGCTGCCTTAGTGTGGGAAAAGACTGTGAGTTCAACACTCAGAACTGAGAAATAAATTCATGCTCCGGGGTTCTCTGGCAGCCTTCAGAAAGGCTTTTGTCTTCCCTGGACCTGGGCTTTCTTCCTTGTAGAAGGGGGACAGTGGTAGCACCTGCCTTATAGGCATGATTTCGTGGGGATTAAATGATTTTGTAAGAGTTTTGGGGAAGAACTTGGTAAATTCTAAACTCTATTACTGCGGCCTATTATTCTGGGCACAGTTAAAGAAAATAAAAATTCAGTAATAAAACTATGCTGTGTGTGTATGTGCATGGTGGGTGTTGTGTGGGTGTATTGTATGTGTGTATGGTGTGTGTGTGTGTGTGTGTGTGTAGGTGTGACTGTGGAGGCCAGGTGACATCAGTTTTCTCCGGTGTCACTCTTCTCCTCATTTTTTGAGACAGGGTCTCTCACTGAACAGAAAGCTGCCAGGTCTTCCTGTTTCTGTCCACCCAGAGATGGGGTTACAAGCACATACCTCCCTATCCAGCTCTTATGTGGATTCAGAAGCAGGTCCTCAAGCTTGAACAACAAGCACTGTACTCACTGAGCCGTCTCTCCTGACCTTATTCACTGTGCTGTCTCTGCCACCCTAACAAAGCTTTCATCTACCCACTCCACCCTCAACCATTAGTACTCACAGCCACCAGTCACAGGACAGCATGGCTAGAGACTCTGAACACTGAATCTAAGACAGGAGTTCGGGAAGAATAAGCTGGAACACGCAAGGCCACATGAGCATCGTCATTGCATATGGCTTCAGGATTGTTATGGTGCTGGCAAGATGCCTGGCCTTGGCATGGTTCACAATCTCTTGGATTGGGGAAAGAAAAGTGAATCCATACTCGGGCTTACAGGAGGTAAACGACCCCACCAAAAAAAAAGTGAAAGGGTGACTGGGACAGTGTGAAGAAGGTCAGGAGCTCTGAAGGTCAGTGTGGATGCCAAAAGCAAGAGTAAGGACCCTACAGTTACGGTGCCTGTTGGAGGCTGTGTGCATTTTAAAGAAAGATTTATTTATATTACTGTGCATGTCTGCACGCATGTGCATGTGAGTGCAGGGGCTCACAGATGCCAGAAGATGGTGTTGGGTCCCTGGAGCTGAAGTTGCAGGTGATTGTGAGTCTCCTGACAATGGCTCGGGAAAACTCAACTTTGTGCTAGGCACCCATTCTCAATTCCTGAAAGACAAGCAAGCTGCTGGCAACTCCTTGCCTACCTCCCTAGAATTTTAAAACTGTTGAGAGATGATTAAATGCTTGTTCTAGTTCCTGTAAACTCCGTTATTGTTGTGGACAGAGGCTGTTCCTCACCTAGCTGTAAATTCCACAGGAATAAAGAAATTGTGACCTGCCTTCAAAAGCTCCCCTCCCTCCCCCACTTTAAGCTGGGCCTCAGTTCTAATTTCTACTATGGGAACAGAGTACAGCTGCAGCTTAAAATAAAAACCCAGCTAATTATAACTGGATAGAGTTGGGTGGTCTTTCGGTGTTTTCTAACTTCGTAACGCCCTATGCAGGTCCTTTGCAAGAGCTGTGTGCACTCTTGACTGGGTCATCCCCCAGACTCTTGTGTGAATTTTTAATAACAGGATTAATAAAATGAAAACTTAGAGTTGAGAAAGATGGAGGAGGAGTAGGGAGGGAGGAAGGGAGGGAGAGAGGGAGGGAGGGGGAGAGCCTTTCACCTCTTCTCTCTGTAGCTCACACCACTTTACACACAAGGGCTGGGAGCAGAGATGCACACTTTAAATCTCAGCACTGGGGAAGAAAGAGCCAAGGGAATCTCCTGTGAGTTCAAGGCCAGCCTGGTCTATATAGTTAGTTTAGTTCCAGGACAGCCAGAGCTACATGGTGAGATACTGTCATACACACACACACACAGACACACACACACACACACACACACACACACACACACACACACACGGAGCAAACAAGCACTTTCAATTTGCTGAGAGTGAGAAGAGCCAGGAGGAGCTAGACAGGAATTCTGCTCTGCCTGGGGCAGCTCCTCCAAGGCCCAGTGGCAGAGGAAATGTACCTTTTGTGACCAGAGCCAACCTCCTGCTATTCCCCTGCCTCATGCCCCTCTGACAAGAATGAGAAGGTCCTGGTTCCTTTGTGGAGACATGGTGTGGCAGCTAACTTCCCTTCAGCCAGGCTTTCCAAAGCACCCTGAAGCTCAACCCAGCACCTGCAGTGAGCATGTTTGCTGACAGGTGCTGTAGTAATCAGCAACCAGTGCGCCCCCTGCTGTTGGAAAGAAGATATAGCCGACTGTTCTTCACTGCCCCAAATCAAGATCTCAGGACTTCCGTGTTTGCGTGTAGACACCCTTCCCCAGCCTCATTCTCCATCAGGACCCTTAAACATCAGAGATTCCTGGTGAGTGCCCACCAGCAAGCAGGCATAATCCTAAAGAGACTGTATAATGCTCTGGATGGGACATAGGGCCCTGCGCATTATGGCTTCGGGCTCTGCCAACGAGATAGGCCTGCCTCCCCAGGAATCAACTTGATTGGACAGAGGTAAGGCGCATGCCTCGCAAGCCCTGTGACACTGAGCTCAACTCCAGTAGATAAAGTTCAAAGCAGCATTTGCTACTTTTGTTTTTCTTTTCTCCCCTCCCCTCCCCTCCAAACAAAACCCACAACAAAAGCCTGTTTGGGATGCCAAGACCTGCTGTAATTCAGCTAGCCTGCTTCACCGAGGGGAGGCCACGGGTTGCACTATAGCAACCCCTCAGCAAAGTTTGAGGATCAAGTAAATGAATTGCACTTGGTGACAGCTGCCCTCAGCAAGGGGTTACCCTGCCCTTTTGCCCCACCTTGCCCCATTTCCAGCCCCGCCCCTTTCCCTACCTGGAAGTTTGACAGCTAGCAAGGGCAGCACTGTCTCTCCATCTATGAATTGTTTTGCTCTTTTGTTTATGCTGCAGCGCTGGGGGACAGAAGCCAGGCCTGGGCATGCTAATTGGGCATTGTCAACTTGGCACAACCTAGTGTCACCTGAGAAGAAAGTCTAAATGAGGAATTGTACTCATTGGGTTAGCCTGTGGTCATGTCTGTGGAAGATTGTTTTAATAAGTTTGATATGGGAAAATACACTGTGGGTGGCACTATTTCATACACAGGGGGTCCTGGGTTGTGTTAGGGTGGGGAACTCAAGCTGAGCATGGGAAAACAAGCAAGCAAATGCTTGTACATTCATTTCTCTGCCCTTCACTGTGACCAGCTATCTTCAAGTCCCTGTCAATGTGACGTCCTCACAGTGATGGGTTTGTAAGACCCCCTGAGAGGGAAGATCCTTGATCAAGTCTAGGGATGACTCGACCCCCCAGAACTCACAAGAGACTGTCCTTGCTGCAATCACACGAGGTTTATGGACAGGAACCAGCGCGCTGGGGCCGAGACTCATATCCCACACAGGGGTAGAGGAGTTTCCACCCCATGTGGCTGTGAATAGGGGTTTTTAAAGGAAGAATCCACAACCCAAAATACCAAGAATACCAGTGAAAGGTCCAGAGGGAAATCACAAGGGGAAACTCCCTGTTCCTTAAGATCGTTTGTAAGATTCTAATCTAACTTTTTATGGCTCGCCTTTTCCTGGAACAGAGTTGCTGAACTGGCTAGCCACCCTATATCCTAGGCCTTATTTTGTCTGCTGAGGGGGTCTTCTTTATCCTGCAGGGCCTTTCAGGTTAAAACCTTGAACTGCGAACTAAAATAAGTTCCTTCCTCCCTAAGTTGCTTTTCGTGAGGATAGTTTATCATAGCAACAGAAACTAGGCAAGTGCACTTTGACCAACCCCCAACTCAACTGCTCTCCTAGCTCAATCCTCTCCTGCTGCTGGGCTGCAGATACATACAAGACCCTTGGAATCCAGCCATCAATATGAAAATGAGTCCAGACTATAGAGACAAATGTGGCCTCATTTGTTTGCACAAATGCTCCAGGTAGGTATGGTTTGCCCTGAAGCAGTGACTGCAGTTCAGCTGTCAAGCCAGTAGCTACAATAGTCCAGACCTAGGATGGGCTGGATAATCCATCTTTTAAATGCTTATTTTTGTATAGAGGCTTTCACCTAGAGTTGCAGGGTGGGACACTGCTGGGGTCAGGTGGGTCTGGGTATTTCCAGTAAACAGGAAAAGTCTATGGAAAGTCTAAAAATGAGACCACGCAAGAGGAAAGGAACCAACCACTTCAACCTTGGGTAGCAAAGACCCAATGATTGCCGTTTACTCAGAATCTAAGAGAAATAAGTCTTTGTTCCCATTTTGGGACTCTGTGTAGCACTGGCTGGCCTGGAATTCACTATGTAGATCAGGTTGGCCTTGAACTCACCAAGATCCACTTGCCTGTATCTTTGGATTAAAGGCATTTGCTACCAGCACAGTTTTTGGGTATTTTCCTCTGTCCTGGAACTCGCTCTTTAGACTAGGCTGGCCTTGAACTCATAGATCTGCTGGCCTCTGCCTCCCCAGTGCTGGGGTTAAAGGCATGTACCACCACTGCCTGGTTGGATACTTTTCTTTGGACAGAGTCACAAATCCATGTGGCTTGGATTCTGGAACCCTGACCAGGGGCAGAGAGAGAACAAAGAAGACACACACACACACACACACACACACACACACACACACACACACACACGGAAGCTGGGATAAGGTGGAAGTATCCCCATTCTGATGGAGGATGCCCACTACAACCAGAAACTTGAGCCTCGGCGTGTTTATTAGGCACAGCACTTGGGGAGGGTCATGTACTGTACTCTGGGTAGGAGGTCTCTGTAGGTGAGCAGCCTCAGCCCTAAACATCAGAGGAGGAGGAAATGTCAGTTGCTAGTCCTTACACACACTGCTCACTCATTCATTTGGACTCTGAGGAAAGTTTTGCCATCTCTTTGAGCCTCGTAAGGCTTCCCATTCCCATGGGGCTGAGGCATTGGAGTCCTGGATATGGCTGTGCCCATGTCAACAATACACATCCACACACGGCTTCAGCCGCTATCACAGAGCAGCTGCTTCACCCCAAGGCCGGCTGTTAACACAGACAACTTTGAACAAAACTGGTGTCTCTTGCTCGGATGAGGAATTCTCTCTCAACAGTGGTAACTTCTTATTTTAAGCTTTTGAAATGTCAGATTTGATTCATGGGCCAGAAATAAGGACTCATTCTTTTTTAAGACTAACTTTAATATCATGAGAATGTCATTGTAGATCATGATGTCATATGAAATATGAAAATTCGTGAACAACGAGTAAGAATAATGAGTATAGGAAAATCTTGGTCCACACTGGGTTGGGTTGGACAGGCCTGGGCTATTAGTGGGCGTGTTGGGAGACTATCTTGCCTCTGGAGAGTGTTCAGCATCCCTGACCACCCATTTGTTAACAGCGTCTCTGCCCCTGTAGCAGGCTTTCTTGGACCTCCAGCCCCAAATCATGACACAGACTTATTATAAATGCCCAGCCTTATCTTGTTTCTAGCTAGCTTTAAAAAAAAAAGTAACCCATTTCTACTAATTTAAGGCTGCCTGAGGCTTGTTTACCTCATCTACGTACTGTGCATCCTGCTTTCTTGCTTCCTCCATTTCTGGTTTGCTGGCCCCTGGCTGGCTGGCTCCCTCTTTCTCTTTGACCACCAGCCCTGCCTACCCCTCCTTTCCCTAACTATTGGTTGTTCAGCTTTTTATTAGATCAATCAGGTGCCTTAAGTAAGCAAGGTGAAACAGCAACACATCTTTACATAGTTAAACAAATACTCTATTCCACAACATGTCCCAGTTGTGACAAAAATAGTAGTATCTCCAGGCATTGCCATGGTGTCATGGGGAACAAGATAACCTCCATTGAGAGCTATTTCTTGTGCTATTCTCTTCTTATGCAAACACTTTAAAAATAAAAAAACATTAACTTATCTGAAAAGCTCAAATGAAGATCAGGGACGACCTTCTGGAGTGAGTTTTCTCCTACTACGTGGGTCCCGGGGATTGAAGTCAGGTCATCAGGCTTGGCGGCAAGGATGGTTACCATCTTGCTGATCCTATGACCAATGTTAGAAATAAATTCTCAGAGAGCTTGGATGTACCTCAACTGGGATGACAGGTGTGTAACACCTTCTCCAGGCAAGCATTCTACCAACTAAACTAAATCGGCAGTGTGGGAAAGTTGTTTTTAAAGATTCTTATCTTTTTAATCGTGTGTGTGTGTGTGTGTGTGTGTGTGTGTGTGTGTGTGTGTGTGTGTTGTGTGCATGGGGGGGGTGTGTCTTGCAGAGGCCAGGGTGTCAGGTTCCTCGGAGTTGGAGTTACAGGAGGTTGTGAGTCACCTGACAGGAATTATGTGAAGTCCTCCAGAAGAGAGCAATGCATGCTTTTAAGCTCTGAGCCATGTCTTCGGTCTCCTGAAAATTTATTTTTAATATTCTTATTTACTAAAGTCTTACATTACTTCAAAATGGCCCAGGAAAGAAAACTTTCTCCATCAGTCCTCAGACAAATGTAAAGCCAGAGGCTTGGTGGGATCCACACACACACACACACCAGGATGTCAAAAGTGAGAGGGGCCGGTACTTCTAGTGTGCGACTGGAATGACTACTGTCACATGCTGCTCTTAAGAGTATGACTTGTATGACTGTACCAGGCCTAGCATAGCAAGATCAGGTAAAGCTAAACTAATGTGTGTCCCAAGATCCACTTTAAAAAATATATTTATTTTTATTTTATTTGCATTGGTATTTTGTTTGTATGTATGTCTGTGTGAGCGTGTCAGATCTTGTTGTGAGCTGCCATATGGGTGCTAGGAATTGAACTAGAGACCTTTGGAAGGGCAGTCAGTGCTCTTAACTGCTGAGTCATCTCTCCAGCCTCCATCACTTTTAATCCAGATCTTTGAAGTGGGAAGGTTCACCTTTAATCCCGGCCATACCTTCTGTCTGCAGTCCACAGCGAAGAAGAAAGCTTGCTTTTTGCCTGCTTTCTCTCTCTGGCATTAGAGCTTATTTCTTCCGGATTCTGGCATCTACTAAAGACCAGCTGAGATATCAGCCTCGTGAACCGAACAACCGCTAGATTCTCGGACAAAAACAGCTTTGCTGGGTGTGTGCTTCGGCGGAGCTGGCGTCCTTTCCCTAAAACTGCCTGCAGCTTCTAATCTCAGTAACGACCCCTCCTCCCTTAGGTGCTGGTGCCTGGTCGGTGTGGCCATCTAGTGACCAGAGAGGAAACTGCAGCGATGGGCGCCGCTTACAGCAATGAGGTCATCCATCTCCTTTTCCCAGAGCTCAGGTTTCTCCGCAGAAGGAGGGATTCCAGCTGTGCCGCAGGATCCTTGGAAAAGATACTTTGAAATTAAAGAAAATTGGAAGCGCTCCCTTAAAGCCAACTTCTTCATGCATTTATGCCACTGGAAAGTATTTGGTGCGGGTAGACAGAGCCCCTTCATGCGTGGAGCTTGGTAAACTTAAACCTCTGCCAGGAACTCTTGTACAGTGACCGACCTGCACTGCCTTGCCTGAAGCCCTAGTACTGCAACAATCTTCCTCTTAGAATTTCCATAGCCACTCCCACCCCCTCCACAAACCTATATTCCTAAAAGAGGGACACAAAGGACACTCCGCCCTCATAGGTTTATGCTGCTCTTGCAGATGCAGTTCCATGAGAATTTCCGTTTTCAACAAGCACTATCAATTTTAGCTTTCTGTGTGGGTGGGATGGTTCATTGGGTAAAGGCTCTTGCAGCCAAGCCTGACCACCCGAGTTTGATCCCCCAAACCCGTATAACAGAAGAACCCAATCCCGCCTACACATACATGCCCTCCCCTACACATAATGAATGCATAAATGGAATCAATTTTTTTTTTTTTTGATTTTCGAGACAGTGTTTCTCTGTGTAGCTTTGGAGCCTATGCTGGCACTCACTCTGGAGACCAGGCTGGCCTCGAACTCACAGAGATCCGCCTGCCTCTGCCTCCCTAGTGCTGGGTTTAAAGGCATGTGCCACCAACGCCCGGCTTGGAATTGACTTTTAAAATATAGCTTTCTATCCTAGGTGTTGACGGTTTCCTTCAGATGATATGGATGTGAAGCCTGGAAACTACCAGTGCTGTGTTTGGGAAGAAAAAAAGCAATTGCACAGCTTCTCACTATAGACTTCAGTGTGGAGCTGGACAAATCAGAAGTGTAGAAAATGTCACACTTTAAAGCCATGGACAAACACTTCAGAACGGACAGGGAGGGTGTGTTCGCTTGGTGACATTTCTAAAGCACCTGGTATTCGTGGATGGATGCTCCCAGGCTAGGAGGGGACAGTGGAGACTGGAGCAAGGGTACCTCTGCCTGTGGCACCCTGCCCTGCTCCATCTAGAACATACCTGCTTTCCGGAGCTCACAGTCCAGAAGCTAATCTTTATGGCTCACTCTCCCACAAGGAACCTCTCACCACCCATGAGCGAGTCTCCTCAGCTCTCACTGCAGTTAGTATATTTACTGCATTTATGTTGATTTTTTTCTCAGCTCTCCCCTCCCCCAAGTCTTTTTTTTTTTTTTTTTTGCTGAATTTTCTACCATTTCCTGAATTTTTGCTTTTTTTTTTTTTTTTTTTTTTTCCCCCCCGAGACAGGGTTTCTCTTTTCTGTTTATTGTTTTGGAGGCTGTCCTGGAACTCGCTAGGTAGACCAGGCTGGCTTCGAACTCACAGAGATCCACCTGCCTCTGCCTCCCGAGTGCTGCTGGGATTAAAGGCGAGCGCCACCAACGCCCGGCTTGAATGTTTGCTTTTATATTCTGTCATTTCTCTCTTTTCTATCTGTCATTTCTTTCTTTTCTTAGGACTTTATTTTTAGGCACACACACACACACACACACACACACACACACACACACACTTGCCTGCGAGGCCCACAGAGGACCAAAGAAGGCATTTCATCCCCTAGAGCTAGAGTTGGAGGCAGCTGTGAGCTTCCTGACCGGGATGCTGGGAACCAAACCCAGGTCCTCTGTAAGAGCAGTATGTGCTTTTAACCACTGAGCCATCTCTTCAGTTCCTAGTCTATCGACTTTTTGGTCCTGGCAATAAATGCAAACTTAAACAGGTGGGTAGGTGGCCCAGCAGTTAAGAACACTGGCTGCTCCTCCAAAGGACCTGCATTCAATTCCCCACACCCACATGCTGGCTCCCATGTAAGCTGGCTCCATGGAATCTGACTCCCTCTTCTGTCCTCCACTGGCACCAGAGACACAAGACGCACAGATGTGTATGCGGACAAAAGATCCGAACACACAAACAGCTGGACCAATGGTAGTGTAACTCAGAGAAAATAGACAGACAGGCCAGGAGCTATCAAGGGGGCCTGCCTCCTGCCCCCTGCTTCCCCACACACACACCCCACAACATGTGGCTGCTGATTCGCCTGGTCCTGCTAAGCTCTCCCTGCCAGGTGCCTTCCAGCTGCTCCAGTGCAGTCCTCAACCTGGCTGCAGTGATAATAACCCCCTGCTGAGGAGGAGGATGTCAGCACCAGTAGAAGCCTTCTGGGTGATTTTCCTATGCAGCCAGACTGAGTGTATGCTATCACCTAAGGCTTCCTGACTCCAACCTGGCACCCTTAGGTGGGTGTGCACCACAAACCAGAGGAGTCTTGAAAACAAACTTAGCTGACTGTGGTGTCTCAGACCTGTAAACACAGCTCTTGGGAGGTGGCAGCTGGAGGATCAGGAGTTGAAGGCTAGTCTGGGATGCTTGCAACCCTGTTTCAATGCAAGAGCAAAGCCTACATGAACCTAAGTCACAGCCTTGTTCAGAACCTTCCCATGGCTGTACCTATCAAAAGAAAGCTCTGTGGCTGGGATGTGTCCCCGCTCTGGCCCCTGTTGGGCTTTCCAGCCCCATCCCTCCCAACCAAAGCTTCAGTTTCTGAAATATCCCAAGATATGTGGTACTCACTGCCAACAGGTGGAAGAGCTGTGTGACTGTGGTCACCCCACCCTCAGACCTCCGAAGAGCAAGTCCTAACTGTAAAAAGTTCCTACTGGAACTGGACTTCTGTTGCCAGGAAACAGTCCCCAGTAAGCTTGGTTCTCCATGGTGCAATGGCAACAGTGGTGCTCTACATATCTGCCTATCCGAAGTGGCATTTACCCGTCCTGCAGTGGGTGCCTGGCTCATGGGCACTGTAACAGCAACCAGTTATTGCCAATTGCTAACTGGAAAATTGTTAATGGTTAGACAATGTTGAGATGGGGACATAACACTGTAGACGAATGCTTGTCTCGGGGCTCCATCTGTCACAGCAACAAGACACACAGACACACACACACACACACACACACAGAGAGAGAGAGAGAGAGAGAGAGAGAGAGAGAGAGAGAGAGAGAGAGAGACTGTGACCTCCTCTGATCAAGACTTCAAGATTGAAGTAAGCATTTCCCAAGCAAATAACATGGAACTGAGAAAGTTGCCAGCAAGCATCTTAAAGCCCTTTTAAGGGTTTCCAAGAGACCATTAGGAAGATCAAACATCAGAAAAGGGTGATGTCTTACTGTGCTTTCCCTTCCAGTAGTGACCTTCTTGGGGCATCAGACCAACAGTGGGGACCTCAGCAGCAGATGAGGGTGGGACATCGCTCTTCGGTCATGTACAGAGCAAGCAAGATCCTTCTGTGTCACTCACAGCATGAGCTAGACATTTGGGGAATGTGATGAGCTCTGTCTTCCCACAGCGGAGTCCCATGGTGAGAGGACGCTTGGGGTCGAATAAGCCAAGTATCTACTATGAAACACGGAGTATACGACTCATGCCCAGTTGTGCTCTGAGAGACTTGGTTGAGCATAGCCCTTGTCAACATCTCCACGATGAAAACTACTCCATTTACTTCCAATTTTCTCATGGAAAGACCCCAGTTAGCTCCCAGAGGGATGGGATCTAGCGGACTGTGCATATTTCTCAGCCTGCTTGTCACTTATCAGGAAGCCACAGCGATACGAGTCACAAGGAAGGTTGCACTTGAGATGAGCTGGATGAAGAGGACCAGGGGGAGGCTGAAGGCTGAGGAATCACAGGTAGCAAGATGCAGAATGGGGATGAAGTTTAGTGGTAGAGACTTTGTCTAGCATTCCTGAGGCCCTAGGTTCAAGTCCTGGTACTGGGGGAAGGGAGGGGGAACCAAGCAGAAGGGTAAGGAAAATCTCAAAGGCACCCAGCCTGGCTTTCTCTAGACTGGCCAAAACTTCAAGGTCACTGTCAATCAATCTATTGTCTTGCCTGGACTTGGTGGTGCATGCTTGTAATCCCACTACCTGGGAGGCAGAGGCAGGAGAATTGATGCAAATTTGAGGACAGACTGGTTTATGTAGTTAGTTCCAGACCAGCCAGGGCTAAATGTCTAGACCAGCCAGGGCTAAATGTCTAGACCCTGTCTCATCGTCCACCACACGCACAATGAAAAACAACAGAATTGCCCATTTAATCAGGTCACATCAATGCTTGAACTCCTGGAGGCTCCCCACTGTCCTTCCTCTGATGGGGTCTTCCCTCTCTCCAGCTGTGTGGCTGGGCTCCAGGCATCTGAACCATCAGCAGTTGCTCCCCCCTCCCTGCCCCCCTTCTCTGCAGGTTGCTTTGGCAAACCCCTGACTTACTTCATCCTTGAACACTGCTCAGCAGTGCATGTTTCTCAGGACTCTCAGACTTCAATAGTGAAAACCCACACAGTCAGCTTCAGTAAGAGGGAGACATAAGGGTTGGGAAGTGGCTCAGGGTAACAAGGTCCTGAGTCTGATTCTGAGAGTTCACATGGAAAAATCCAGGTGTGGTGGGATGAGGCTGTACCCTCAGCACTGGGGAGGTGAGACTGGAGGATTCCTGGAGCAGCAAGTCTAGCCAGTCTAGTGGAATCATTGAGCCCCTGGCTAGTGAAAAGACTGCTTCTTTCCCTGAGTATGTCCCTTGTTGTCTCGAGCCTAGAATTCTCCTCCTATTTATTCTCTCTGCCTGTCAGCCCTGCCTATTCCTTTCTCTGTCTAGATATTGGCCATTCAGCTCTTTATTAGAACAATAGGGTGCCTTAGCCAGGCAAGGTGAAACAGATGCAACACATCTTTACATAATTAAAGACACACCTTTACATGTTAAACAAAGGCAGCACAAACAAATACAACACACTAATTAAAGTAATATTCTGCAAAACCAGGAAGCCCCAGCTTATGAGTTTGGTCTCGCTGGGTAATTGGGAGGCATCTTACCCCCAGTTTCAGCTCACAGTTCTAACGGAAAAGTCCAGTTGTCCTGGCTGGAGCTATGAGCCCAATGCTTGACTTGTGACCAGGGGCTAGAGTCATTAGCCAGGTGTTGGCCCAGTGTTCTGGACCTAGAAAGGGATAATGGGC